CTGTTATGAAGGTGAGCCAAGATATTTTTTCTCCCCACTATGCTGTAAACATGTCAGTTTCATCACTTCAGTTGGGCATTTTAACAAGAGCGTCGGTGTGAATTGACTCACTTTTACAGCTGCTTAAAGTGGCTCTAAGAGAAACTCTAGTTTTTTGGCTTTATTTCTCTTTCCCAGAGGTTTCTACCTAATACAGCCATGCTAAATATTTTGTATTTGGCTGATGTGGAGTGATGGCATTTTTTTAGAAAAATATTGATGGTAAGGAGGAAGAGTATGCAGCTGCTTCTGAATGTGCACAAGCCTAGTATCCGAACACTTCCTCCAAGGCCAAGCCAATTACATTACCAGAGGCTTGGACTGGAGCCTGCATTTAGTCTGAGAGGCCACACCATCTGGATTTCAAAAGCTAAATAATAAAAATATAGACTTTACAGAGATTTTAGTGAATCTAACCAAAAAATAATACTGCAGGGTATCGATGTGTTTCTGTGTACATGCGTGTCTTCTCAGCTCAGAGTTAAAATGTGAGTTATTTTTGCCTTTTTGCAGTGAAAGTGTGAGTGCCATCAACATGCGGTGCTTACTTAAAATATCATCTATAGTCTATATTCCCTCGCAAACTTTCAACTTCACTTTCTAATGCAAACATCTGAGTCGTCTGACACCCTCTTCTCCTCACTTAATTCTGCTGTTTGAGGCAGATATTTTTGTTGCGCGAGTTCCAATTAAGTTGATTTTTGTAACTCATGTTCATCACAGATGTAATTCTGCTGGTTCTTAGCATCCCTGCTGTGCCTAGTGGTGCTCAGCCAATTAAAGGCCAAAGTCTTCTCAACTAACCACCAGACCCCATTCCCTGTTCGTGTTGGCTCCACTCTTTCCTTCCAGATACTTGACACCAGTGGCGTGTCCAGCAGGGTGGCCTGGGGGGGCACAGTGAGGTGAACAATGAGAGGTGGTGGATTGGCCAGATGCAGGTGGATGTGTAAAAATAACTCAGTTGTTTGGTGGTGGCTATGGCGGGGCTTCCACAGAGGCCAGCAGGTGGATGAGGGAAGGGGAGGCAGGAGGAGAGCCCCGAGGCAGCCGCCAGTCCGAGTGTCAGGTGAACTGAACTTCAGGTAAGAAGTTATGACCTGCAGTCTATCTGGGTTAGATATAAACCAAGTTTAGGTGTAGTTTATTTTCGTTGTGCTGACTTTTTACCGTCAGTTACAATAACTCGTACTGCGTTCTAGCCAGCTTGACGGAGTTTTTATACAGCTGGGTGGGTGCTATGATGTAACTTATAGTGAACTTTATTTTATTCATAAGGTTAGTTAGTAGAGTTGCCAACGGCTCCTTAAAAAAATGGAATGGTCCCTCAATCAGAGAAAATATTACACGTTTCGTATTGAGCTGAGAAGAGATGTAGTTTGTCCTGGTCTTTCGCTATAATGAAAAAAAGACACAAAGCTGGAGTTATTCTGTCATTACGCTGCACAGCTGCCTCTTCTTCTCTCATCCTCTCACTCTCCCTCTCCTGTTGCTACTTCAATCATGAAACTGATCAATGATCAGCTGATCGGCTTTTCTCTCTTGTTTATTTATCGCCCACTTTGTGCCAGAAAGAGGAAACCAGCGGATGTCGCGCTAAACAACAGCTGCACGTTTAAGCTTGATCAGCTGTTGTTAGAATTTATTTAATATTACTTTCTAGTATCAGCTGATGTTTGCTGGAGCCACAGCTGTAAAGCTGCTGGTCATGATGTCGGTTTGGATATGTGGTGAGAGGGAAACATGAAGATGAAACCAGCAGATGTCCTTACTGAATCATCAGAGCTGAACAGGTGATGAAGAAACAGGTTTACCTTTTAGGTGACATGAATGAGTTGGAGGGAAGTTATGAACTGTTTCTGAGAGACAAATAACACCAGGATCCTTTTCTGTGTAGCTGACAGCTGGTAACTGTGCAGGGGCGGGTCTAGGAAAGTTTTGCCAGGGGGCCAGGTAGGGCATTAACAGGGAAAGGGGGGGCACAAAGAAATACTTTTCTTTCTTATTCTCATTTAAAATATCTAGCTTTTATTAAATAATTATCTAAATCTTACAACCAAAGTTTTTATCTGACATAAAATGTATAGAAATCATACATACAAGACAGTGTATATCACTGTCACAACAGCATTTGTTTTCATTCAAAGTCTTTATGGCTTTAATACCTGGTGGGCCGGTCTCTAGTCAAAATGCCCGATTTTCTGTCCCAGTCCAGCCCTGCAGTTTAATACTGGCTGTGTCACCATGCCAGCTGACTGTATTTCATCATCAGCCAGTGTTGTTCTTTATCAATATTACCAAAGTTTACCATAAGGCAGCATAGGAAGTATTTACTTGCTTTCAGGTTTTATTCAAATGTTAGTCTTTTCAGTTGTTTCCCCACTTTTTTCCTGTTTCAAAATCAAACACCAGTTTGTGAGAAGATTATCTTCTTTTTTTAATCGGCAGATAAAGTTTTACATTGGAATTGGCTAATTTGTCAATTGTTTGTTTCAAATGTTCGTATTTTAATATTCAAAAATGTTTTTGCCCAAAACATATGTGCACTATATGTCAGTAAAAATACTATGCAAATATTGATGTCCTTGAATGCTGAGTAAACACTGACAAAGCACTGATTGTATCTCTTGTACTTTATCAACGCAGTATCTAAAAACTTTGCACCGTAGTGGTTAAAATCTCATTCTAATAAGAGTTAAAAGCGCATTCGGTTATTAGGTTTATAGGATTATTGAATTATGGTTAACGGTTGGTAGAATTTTTTTTAAACATTATCTGCCAATTACATCTGCCACCCTTCTCCAAATCTGTGCCCCTACCTGGCCCCCCCAACAAAAATTTTCTAGACACGCTACTGCTTGACACAACTTATTTGTTTTTTTCTTCTACATCACTGTTCCGTTTTATCCAAATTTATATCACACCTTTGTCTGATTATACATTCCTTTTTTATCTCTTACCTATTAATAAAGGAGGCATGGTGTCGCGCTGAGAACCTCTGTTGTCTTCGCTAAAGACAGTGCTCCCATGTGTTACATATGTGTGTAGGGGGCGAAAGCGTCATAACACCCAGAATATGAAATGCTGAGTGTGTTATAATAGTTTGAGATGATAAACTCTGGGAGTTGTGACAGCATGAAGGGAAAAAAAGAGTCAGTATGGTGTGGGGTTTTTTTGTTTTAACATCACACGTGGCAAGGTCACATTTGGCAGACCAGAAGAGGCACCTAAGAGGGAAGAGGGTAGTGAGGCCAAGAGGAAGAAAGGAGGCTCCAGCCATCTGTCAATACATACAATGCAATGTGTGATAAACAAGTCTGAAGATATGAATCCCACAAGCTGGTCTGTAGGAGATTGAGAGCTAATGATATTCTCATTGCTGCAGTGAGGGAAAATTGCAACTGTCGGTATAGAACTCAAGTTGCATTTGATTTTTAGTTTTATTTTTTTGTCGTGTAATAGAGTCGGTTTATTTTTCTTGCTTTTGTTTTTGTTCCTTTAAAATTTAATGCTATTTACCATATGGGTAGGTGGAATGTTTCTAGCCTCACCAAAGGACGGCACCACTGATCTGTCATCTGGGTCATTTTTATAAATGCGCATTAGATTAGAATGACATTTTTGTACATCTGTTCATAGCTTCTAGAGGATGAACACCGTTGACTTCTCTCTAGTGGTAGCCTGACATTTATAGTTTTTTTGAGAGGGAATGCATTGGTATAAAACTTCCTATACAGTTGTTGTTTCATCAGGATTTATTAGGCTATAAACACCCCCTGACTTTCTGTCTATCACTTTAAGGGCTTAAAATAAGCGCATCCCTTAAGACTTTCTACTTGCAATAAGGCTATGTTAAAAATCAATCGGGCCATGCCTGTAAAGCTAATTTTCATTCATCTTGGTGTTACTTTGTGATCAGAGCATTTTACCAATTTGAGCTGAACCCATAAATCCAAGATATGATTAATACATTCAGAAAATTTAATAAATAATTTAGCATTTTCTTTCTGCTGCTACCTTATTTAACCCTACTGGGTTACCAGAGTGGAAGATTGACGTCTATGATTTGGTACAGGTTTTACACCAGATGTCTTTCCATACACTTGTGTTGCATAATTTCTTAACACAGAGCCACTAAATACAGTAAATCATTTAGGAAAAGTGTCACATTTCACCAATTGTCCTCTAGAGGGCGTTGATGAGTGGCTGTTTTACCAGCATAATGTCCCTCTTACTGTGTTTGTTGGTCACAATTAAAGTTTCTCTTGGCTGTCCATGTACAGTGAAGCATTCCTACTATTTGAAAAATAAAATGTCTGCTATACTTCAGCATATTAATCGCCATTTTGATGTATAACAATGACAGTGTTTTTTTCCCCCTTTGGCTCAGACTACAATCTTTAAAGGTAAAAAGAAAATCTCTTTGCAAGAAAATCCCTAAACAAATGTGATAATTGTATTAAAAATGTAAAGTTCTCGAATATTGACATCAGATTAGTATAGTATGGTAGTATGATAGTCTTCAGACTTGTTACTCCTCTTTCCTGAGGTTCTTTCAAACAGTGAGCAGCTGCCATCATCAACGTTCTCTCAGCTTCCTTAAACCCTGGCAGCCTGCACACCACATGCTGCTGCTATCCACTATCCACCTGGTATAAATCCATCACTTGGCTAAATTGATTAGGTTGTATGTTTAAAAAAATATTTATAAATATGACACAAGTCGGCTTTGTTTATTTTAATTGTTTAATGTCACCACATGCTGAAAATGATGTTGCTCAGTTCTTCTTTTCATCCTTTTTCATGTGATTGCCATGGTCACACACACCCAGCTAAGATGGCAAATATAAAAAGTTAATTATGAAGAAGCCCCACACAGATGTTGCTGTTGTTTGTCTGCATGTTTTCACTGAAGACAATGAAGACACACTGTTCACCACAATCTCTTCATGTGTTTTCAGGGTCAACCACCACCTGCACTATCCCCCTGATGGGTATGAAGAGGACCCTGAAGTGATTGGCTATGAAGATGGAGATTATGGGCATGACTACCATGGTGACAACAGGTATGTTCAAGGATGTGTTAAATCAGCTGTCTGTCGTCCCTGTCACATGGCTTGTGGGTGTTTCCTCCAAATGTAAACACAAAAAAAATCTTAAAATATCACCCACAGTGCATGTGGTGTGAGGTAGGCAGCAATTATTATTTATATATGAAAACTGTTACATAGATGGTCATTTAGACTGTACTCTGTGTGTGTGCGTGTCGCTTCATAGACAAGATTAAGTGTCATTTCCTCAAAGTGATTTCCTGTTTGGATGGTAAGATGTATTGTATAGATATTGTGTTATGAATGAAATGAGAAAATATACACTTATCATTCCTGTTATCGGCAAAGCATCGGCAAATAACTGTAATCAGAAATTGAAAACTGGAGATGATTATAATAGCAATCGCTTGTAAATGATTTATGCTCCCCCTAACTCTCTTGATGCGGCCAATTCAGGGTGAAGAGGAAATCAAGCAGCTCACATTCCCCTCGTCCAAAGAAAAGGAAGAAGAAGAAATCTGGCCATCGAAGGAGTCGGTGAGTGGAATAGAATAGAGTAGAATAGCCTTTATTGTCATTGTACAGAGTACAACGAAATTGGAGTGCCGCTCCCTTGGTGCAAGTTTCAATAATAAATATAAATGTAAAATATAAAAAGTACAAA